CCCTTCACTTGAGGACTGGTACGACAAAATTGATATACAAGATATATGTTATGGAAAGAATCACTTTCTCAACGAGACTTCAGGAAAACACATTCGAGGAAACATGGAAAAAGAGAGAAATTACAAATCCCACAGACGACCATCTCTTGTTTGACTGTGCTTCTATACACCGCCTGAATGTATGTGTATAGGTATTTGTGTGTATGTATGTGCATTATATATGTATGTATGTATGTATGTGTGTATGAATGTGTGTATGTATATATGTTGATCAATGTGTATAGGTATGTGTGTATGTATGCATATATAGGTGTATGTATGTGTGTGTGTATGTATGTATGTATGTGTGTGTGTATGTATGTGTGTATGTATGCATATATAGGTGTATGTATGTGTGTGTGTATGTATGTATGTATGTGTGTGTGTGTGTATGTATGTGTGTATGTATGCATATATAGGTGTATGTACTGTATGTGTATGTTTGTATATAAACAGAGGAGATTTGTCACATTCTTCATGGGCGCACCCCACATACTCAGCTCTGCTGCTCATCCCACAAATGCTTGTTCCTCACAAATGTGGTACCATTGGAAAGGTAAGAAAACAGGCTTTCCAACGGTATACGATTTATTGCCAAAAAGCATTGTTACAGGCAGGGCAAGTTTATTTATATAGCACCTTTCAGCACACGCTAATTCAAAGTTCAAATGTGTGTGTGTGTTTAAGTAGCTACATGTGTATCTGTGTAGATATTTGTCATTTCAAAAACCACCCCTATATACTTTATTTTACCAATTTTATTGTGTATTTCATTTGCCATGTTCGGGTCTCTGAACAGATATGATTCGCAAAAACTGTACTTTTTATATAATGTGACCCCAAATAAAGAATACAAAAAACTAAAAACAACTAATAATGCCAGGGCCGGTTTATTTTTGGGAAATTGTGAAACAGATTGCCTCACCTTTGATCCACTGATCAGATAATGCGTCCCGTCCTCTGACAGCACGGCGCGGGTCTGAATGGAGGCAGCATCACTTCCACTGAAACCACCAACAAAGAAGAGATGAATATAGACTTCTTTTTTCATCTGTATTTTATTATATATGTTGCATTGTTGGAAGAATTGTATTGCCATTTCTATACTGTAGCTTTGATTGGTTGGACATCCTATAATATATGAACCTCTGCTCTAAGTGATGAAAAGTATTAAAACGTCAAACAATCGCACGTTTAAATATCTTACAACTTTGACTCAAAGCTGATTTAATGTGGCTTTATTGAAACATCGATAAGATACAACTTTATTGTTCAGATCGAGTCTGACATTTGTAACATTAATAAAGACAAATACTAAGACAAGAGACAAGGAAACAAACATTTAACGTCTAACAACTCAAGACAATTTGTTTAAGACTCCTAACGTATCATTTGACCTGGGATTTGTTCTAAAAGGATCTTAATTCATTACAAATTGACTCCAGAAGCCCAGAACAGGCAAGTCATCCTGATGATCCAATCCTTAAATCTAATCAAAATGAGAAAAATATATTTTGGCAGGATATTTGGTTCTTATTTACTAAAATAAAAACAGCCTTTATTTTCAGGCTCAAGTGTTGTTGTAGTACTCATGTTGGCCACCATGCCTAGGCTCTTAGATCAGATAAGAAATAGATTGATCCCAACTTGGGAAATGTTTGCGTTGCAGCAGCAAAAAAAGACAAGGCTTTGTATAATGGAAAAATTAAAAGACTAGAAATAAACAATCTAAAATGTAAACATCTCAAATAGAAATAAAATGGCATTAAAAAGTAGAAAAAACATGTGGAAAATATTCATGTGGAATTCAAAATGTAACAAAATAAAAAAGCAGGATATTATATATACATGAGACCATTAAATCCAAATGAGACTCCAGCAGCGTTACCTCCCCGGCTCTGTGAGGCAGAACGCTGCGATGTGTTCTCCGGACGCCAGTTTGGGAAGATACTTCTGCTTCTGGGCTTCGGTCCCTGCGATCAGAATCCCCTGAAACACCAAACAGCTGTTAGACCAGTGTTAAAGTACCAACTGTGTTCATTTAAGACCAACAGCTTCCCTCCACGTTTTTAACGCAACAGATGAACGTGAGTAAAGATTAGATTCAGAGCAGAGAGATTCATTTGTAACTCTGTAAAGCTATGTATTTATTTAAACAAGGACCATGCATACTTTAAATCACACTGTCCATTTTACATTAATACATTCAGTTTCATATTTAATATTCCATCTCTCAGATACTTATGGATATATGATAACTTGCCATGTCTTTTTTGCTGCTGGAACGCAAACATTTCCCCAATTGGGATCAATAAAGTTCTTCTTATCTCATCTCTTGTCTACCTTCAGTCCGATGGCCTGGTGAGCGGCCAGCGTCACGGCGATGGATCCGTCCAGAGAGGTGATCTCTGCCAGCCGGGCGTACACCGTGTTGGTCAGCCCAAGACCCCCTGGGGTGAAAGAAACAAAGTACTTTTACTTAAAGATCTCCCATCACGCTATTTGTAGGCATATGTTATGGGTCTCAGATATATACAAAACATGTCCATGAAGTGTTTTGCTCAAAATACCAAACAGATCATGCATTTTAGAAATCCCTCATATCCCTCTGTTTCAGGCCTGTTAGAGAAACGCTGATTCTGGGTCCTTAGCGATATACAAAAAAGAAAAAGGAGGTGGAGCTAATGCCTGCTCAGAATTCTAGCGAGATACTCAGCTAAATGCTGCCGTGATTAAACGCCATATCATGTTCCAAACCACATCAAGGATTATTTCTGAAACAGTATGGAGCTCAAATGCTTTTTCTTTTGTTTGAGGGTGTTTGGTTGGTGGTTTTTTAAGCTTGTAAATATTTCTGTAAGATAGATGAACTCTAGATATGTTTGTGAGATATGTCTTAAATCATTTCTGCTTAGTGTGTGAGCTGTTATTCTTTAAGCTTTTTATCAGAGTGTCCCCTTTCACATATCTCCATTCTGCCTTGGTAACTGTTTGTGTGTACATTGAGAGATATAACCCTTTTTAATAACTACAAACAGCTGTTGTCACATCATCGTACCGTACTCCTCAGGAACCATCACTCCAAACAGCCCGAGCTCCTTCAGCCCGTTCAGAGTCTCTGCTGGGATCTTAGCATCTCGGTCGATCTTCGCTGAGTCGACTGAAATCACAATTAAAAAAAGGTAATTTGTTAGAAAACTCTCCCTGGTCCCCGGCTTGAGCTTCAACCTCAGGATCCATGTATCTGTGATCCTCTCCAGAATGGAAGTAGTCATCACATACAGAGCATCAACTAGTTCCTGAACAGTGTCCTTCACATGCTGATATCCAAGAGAGGGAGTTACACAGTCACAAGATGGAGTCTTCTAGGTAATCATACATCCTGTCATGTACATAATACTGAGTTTTGTCTCAAAATGTTGGCTTTATTCTGAAAATCAAAAGAATTCAGACTTTTTCTCAAAATCCGGAATTCTTTTCAAAATTTTTGACTTTTTCTCAAAATCCGGAATTTTTCTCAAAAATTCAGACTTTCTCTCAAAATCTTAAAATTCAGACTTTTTCTCAAAATTCAGACTTTTCCTAAAAATCTCAAAATTCTGACTTTTTCTCAAAATCTCAAAATTCTGACTTTGTCCTCAAAATCTCAAAAATGTTAATAAACCCTCGTCCCTGGCTTGAGCTTGAATCTCAGGATCCATGTATCTGTGATCCTCTCCAGAATGGAAGTAGTCATCACATACAGAGCATCAACTAGTTCCTGAACAGTGTCCTTCACATGCTGATATCCAAGAGAGGGAGTTACACAGTC